AATAACTGGAAATGACATAGGATTAGACCCAACCATGTGTCTCCTACATAATGTTGAGACAACAGTAAAAAAATACAAAGAATCAGGTGTATGGTACTACTTAAGTGCTGCAAAAGGGTTGATTCCCAAGTTTTGGTGGAAGACAGAAGTGCCGACGGAGGAGGATTGGGTCAATAGGGTAAACCAGATTAGTAGAATGGAAAAATCTTATTATATTCAGGAAGACAGGTTGAAATTATACTATCCGCGATGGGAAAAATGGGAAAAATCAGGATTGAAAGAGAAATATAGAAAACTCTAAACTAGGAAGTTATCTGTAGTTATTGGGCCTAGAGAGATTGGAGAGCTTGCAGTGTGGGGAGGGAGGGGGAAGGGGGGAAAAGGTCGGTTGGGAGGGAAGGGAAAGAAAAGAGGTAAATAGAAGGGACAAAGTAGAAGTATATTGATTTTATATGTATTGTGTCTTTTCTTATGGAATGGTTGTAATAATATGAAAATTTAATAAATATTTAAATTTTAAAAAAAGGGGTTACTTGTCTAATTACATGCTTCAAATTACACAGTTCTAAGGGGAGGGGAGACAGACACAGAAAAGGTATGAGGATCCACTCCACGGAGATGACAACGTTGTTAAGGGTGGGGTGATAGAACCCAGAATGAATATAAGAGGAGGAGGTAACACAGCTGTCAAAAAAGAGCAATAGAACCAAGAATGAGTATGAGGAGATGACACAGTTATCAGGGGGAAGAAAGATGGAACCCAAAATGGACATGAGGAGTGGAGGAGATGATACGGATGTCAGGGGAAGGGCGATGAAACCCAGGGTGGCTATGAGCAATGGAAAAGATTGCCAGGGGATGGGTGATGGAGCCCAGAATAGATATGAGGATTGGAGGAGATGACAAAGTTGTCAGGTGAAGGGTGATGGAACCCAGAATAGGCATGAGAAGTGGAAGTGATAACACAGATGTCAGATGAAGGGTGGTGGAGGTGAAGGGTGATGGAGCCCTGAATGGATATGAGGAGTGGAGAAAATGGCAAAGTTGTCAGGGGAAGGGTGATGGAGATGAAGGGTGATGGAATCCAGAATGGACATGAGAAGTGGAGATGACACAGATGGAGGTGAAGGGGTGAAGGAGGTGAAGGGCGATGGAAGTGAAGGACGATGGAACACAGAATAGATATGAGGAATGGAAGAGATAACACAGATGTCAGGTGAAGGGTTATTGGAGGTGAAGGGTGATGCAAGTGAAGAGTGATGGAGGTGAAGGGTGATGGAACACAGAATGCATATGAGGAATGGAGGAGATCACACAGAGGTCAGGTGAAGGGCGATGGAGTTGAAGGTGATGGAACACAGAATGGATATGAAGAATGGAGAAGATGACAGATGTCAGGTGAAGGGCGATGAAGGTGAAGGGTGATGGAACACAGAATGGATATGTGGAATGGAGGGGATGACACAGAGGTAAGGTGAAGGGCAATGGAGTTGAAGGGTGATGGAACACAGAATGGATATGAGGAATGAAGGAAATGACACAGATATCAGGTAAAGGGTGATGGAACACAGAATGGATATTAGGAATGGAGGAGATGACACAGAGGTCAGGTGAAGGGCAATGCTGGTGAAGGGCGATAGAAGTGAAGGGTTATGGAGGTGAGGGTGATAGAACACAGAACACAGAATGGATATTGCAGGTAGGTAGGTGGTCTTTTTCCTTTTCCTTAGGGGTCCCCTCAGGTACCAATGGTCACACCTGGACACAGCTACGAGATCTCGGAAAGTGAATGCACTCAAATCACCTATGTTGCGATTGCAAAACACTTCAAGAAAATTATTGGCATAACATCAGGGTTTTTATACTGTAGCATTTGGGCAAACACACCCTCAGACCATCCAATCAAATACATGTACATTATTTTTACCTTAACTCAAAATTATTTGTATGAGGTTTGCATTTACACTTTTCTGCCTTATCCAGGGGCGGACTGACCATTTGGAAACTCGGGCACTGCCCAAGGGCCCGGGGTCAGTAGGGGGCCCCATGAGATGTCCCTGGTACCTTTTTCATAGGCTTTTTTGAGTTTGAGCAAGGACACAGGGGCCCCATGATCCCCTATTGCCAGGGAGCCCCATGAGTTTTCAGTCCGCCCCTGGCCTTATCTGTCACACCATATCTGGTCTAACGCCCAGACCATGGCTATAATCTGGCCCAATGCCCAAGCTGTGGTTACAACTTTTCAGAAATGAGAGTAAAGCTTATCTCCTTTTTTGTAAAGTTTGCAAAAAACACTTATTTCTACATGAAGCTGGCATAGACAGTTTTGTTAGTGTGTACAAAGGTCATATATATGTGTATGTTAAACAAGCATCTTGTATTAGTGTATACAAAATGGATTTGGTTATATTCCATTTATCCTTTCAGATATGAGGAATGGAGGAGATGACACAGAGGCAGGCCCGGGCTGGGATAAAAAAAAATAGGGCCGGGCATTTTGAACTGAGGTCGCAAGAGCGACCTTTGCAACCCTGGTAGTTCTGCCACTAGTGTTTTTATTTAATTTTTGACAATTTTATATTTTTATTATTTTTCTACATTTTTTTGTAGGAAGAAAGGAAGGAGGGAAAGAGAGAAAGGAAAGAAAGGAGAGAGGGAAAGAAGGAAGCAGGGAAAGAAGGGAAGGGGAATAAAGAAGAAGAGAAAGAAAGATGGAAGGAGGGAAACAGGAGACTGAGAGAGAGAAAGAAAGACATATAGAAGGACAGAAAGAAAGAAAGGAAGGGGGAAAAGAAAGAAAGGAAGGAGGGAGGGAAAGAAAGAGAAAGGATAGAAACAGGAGACAGAGAGAAAGACAAAAGAAAAAAGAAACAGAGACATAGAAGAAAGAAGGAAGGAGGGAAAGAAGGAAGGAAACGGAAAGAAAGAAGGAAGGAGGGAAACAGGAGACCGAGAGAGAGAGAGAGAGAGAGAGAGAGAGGAGAGGTGAGAGAGAGAGAGAGAGAGAGAGAGAGAGAGAGAGAGAGAGAGGCATATAAGAAAGAAAGAAAGAAAGAAAGAAAGAAAGAAAGAAAGAAAGAAAGAAAGAAAGAAAGAAAAAAGAAAGAAAGAAAGAAAAAAAGAAAGAAAGAAAGAAAGAAAGAAAAAGGAAGGAAGGAGGAAAACAGGAGACAGAGGGAGAGAGAGAATAAAAGGAGGAAAACAGGAGAAAGAAAGAAAGAAAGAAAGAAAGAAAGAAAGAAAGAAAGAAAGAAAGAAAGAAAGAAAGAAAGAAAAAGACAGAAAAGACCAAGAAAGAAAGAAAAGAAAGGAAGAGAAACAGGAGAAGAAAAAAGAAGAAAGAAAGAAAGAAAGAAAGAAAGAAAAATAAAAAAGTGAGAGAAACAAGAGACAGAGAGAGAGAGAAAGTAAGAAAGAGAAGTATAAAAAAAAAAAGAAAGGAGAGAAACAGGAGACAGAGAAAGAAAGAGAGAAGTAAAGAAAGAAAGGAGAAAAAAAAAGAAGGGGGAGAGAAGACACAAGGCTGGCTGGGAGTGTGGGCGGGGCAGACACAGGAGCAGAGGGCGGGAGGAGAAGGGGCAGCTTTCTCTCTCCTCTCCTGTCTGTGGTGGGCAGGGACTGTTAGCACTGGGGACAGCATATGCTCACAGATCTCCGGGAGTTGAGGGGGGGGGGGGGGGGGGGCGCGGGGAGGCATACAGGAGTGCAGGGCATGCAGGAGATGGATAGGAGAGGAACCGAGAAATGCACGGTCCTCTATGTGCAGCCCTGACACCTCTCCTGTCCAGACGGCCCCGGCCCTCTGGACAAATGCCCAGTGTGCCCTATGGCCAGTCTGGGCCTGCACAAAGGTCAGGTGAAGGGTGATGTTGGTGAAGGGCAATGGAGGTGAAGAGTGATGGAGATGAGGGTGATAGAACACAGAATGGATATGAAGAATGGAGGAGATGACACAAATGTCAGGTGAAGGGCGGTGTTGATGAAGGGAAATAAAAATCAATGTCTGTGTATTTAGTGAGAAGAGTGATCTCTGATTGCTTTTCATTTAATATTTGTGCACCTGGAAGTGGGTGGGAGGTAGGATGTATATGATGTAAGGTGTGTGCTAATGAGGTCAGCTCCTTCCTGTGTCATGATCTTAAATCTCTGCAGGAAATAAGGCAGAAGTAACGGGAAGCTTTTTTTATACAGCCATCTGGACACTGACATAAAGGTGGGTAGAAAATATGGAAAGCTTTTGAATTTCTAAAAAAGAAGTAGACTAACAGTATATTGGTATACAAGGGTGCTGGAATTTAGGGAAAAAAAAGGTGAACTTATCCTTTAGCCCTCATGCACACAGGATGGTTTTGGTTTTTTTTCCTACAGCCAGTAAACCCCCCAGCATTTTATCCTATGTGTCCATGCACACAGAGTGTAATCAGCATTTTTTGGCTAAAAAAAACCCAGGACTAGTGGGTTTCTAGAGGAGTTTATTAGCTGGAAAAATGCTCTAATGCTGAAAAACGCGGTTAAAAGCTGCAAATCGACGTTTTTGGACTTTTTAAAAATATAAATTTTTTGGGGTAAAAAAAAATGTTAAAAAATGATAAAAACTGCAAACGTGGCTAAACGCTAATGCAGAATTGCTGAAAAACTCAGGTTTTTAATTTGACTTCACACAGCTAACGTTACCAGCCTTAAAAAAAACGCCCGTGTGCACGGAGCCTGAAATGAACAGGATGAGGCTGCCAGACCCCGCCCACTGCTCTCCGATCCTCTAGTTAGAGAGAGAAAACGTTGACTTGCGGAGTAAATACAGAATGGGTTGGAGAATGCCTGCCACCTAGTGGCGATAGCGTGTCTACACAGGAGGCGGTATCTGTCAAATGATATTCAAATACTGTGGTCTGGGGCTTTCCTACGTGTCAGGTTACAGAGACTCTAGTCGGTCTGGATTGGCTGCCGATCCTTGTTGTCGTGGTTACTGAGGCCTAGTGCTGTCTGAGCCTGTAGAGGGAATGGAGCTGGAGGATCCAAGCAAGGCGATTATTTCCGCCGATCGGGGGGCTGCGGTCCGGGGTGAGGAGCTCTGTCCGTCCGCTGTGCCGGAGCTGCTGAGAGCTCTATGGGAGGAACCCGAGAAACAGAAGAGGAGTTTCGGGGGCCGGGTGAAGTCTCACCGACAACATCGCTTCAGGATCTGTCCTCTGGGGAGGGAGAGCTATGGTGAGCGAGGCTGGGGGGGTCCAGCTGTCATCAGTGTATGGGGAGGGGGCCCAGTAGACGGATACATGAACAGTGTATGGTGCACATGGCGACTATGAAAGTGACACCCCACCTACCACTGATAGGGGGGTGGGGGACCCCCAGAGAGTCCGATCTCTTCTTTGCCCATTTTCACAATCTGCACACTTTGTATATTTTACATGACGTTTAGCTTCACATATGTGTGCGTTTGCACATGCATGTCACGGTACAGCAACCTATTAATTTACTGCGCTGTACCCCTAAGGAACGCCGGGAAAATCTACAACCCTTTACCGAGAACACGCCACAATGGACCGTCTGATGCTGTGGCACATGCAGTCTCATGAAAACATACGAAGGCGCCATTAAGAATTAACAGCAACCTTGCTCATCTGCTAAAGCGCAGCGTGTATCTGTGGCGGTCAGTAAGTGATTCTGCACATGATCCCGGCCCACACATGTGAGCTTAGCCTAAAGTGTTCACCTTTACAGAAAAAATGTCAATCTAACCTAGCACTGGACACCCTCCTGGTCCCCACTGTACTTACCTCCAGGGCTGCTGAGCTGTCAACCATTCTTCTCCTTGCAGCAGCTTTCAGGATGGACCAGAGTAATTCATTGTGATGTCGCTGACCAATCAGAATCGATCTGGTCTGTCCTGGAAGCTGCTGCTGCAAGGTGAAGAGTGGGCATTTCAAATCCCAGGAACGCTGACAGCTCACCAGCCTCAAAGGCAAGTACAGCGAGGACCCGAAAGGTATCCAGTGTTGGCTTTACATTTTTTCTGTAAAAAAAAGTGTTCCTTGGAATGCTGGCTGGTCTGTCTCTAATTGGCCAGTATGCATGGAGCCATAGGTTACTAGGTGGAAACCCCTCCATTCTGTCAGTTGCCTCTATGATCAGAGCTGCTGAGTAGATCTCAGGCTTTTGTCATGTGAATTTAATTTTTTTGACAGGACCCATTCAAACTTCATAATGTATCTTACAAATATTTGTGGGTTGAAAACAAATCGGTCTTAGAAAGTCGCTCTCCCCACCCCCCCCCCTTCACATTAGATCAGGGGTGTCAAACTGCTGGCCCTCCAGCTGTTGCGAAACTACAAGTCCCATCATGCCTCTGCCTTTGGGAGTCATGCTTGTAACTGTCAATCTTGCAATGCCTCATGGGACTTGTAGTTTGGCAACAGCTGGCAACAGCTGGAGGGCCGCGCATTAGATCATTCCTCCCCCTCCCCTTTTCACATCAGAGCTCCCCCCTTTCACATCAAAGTCCTCATGCCCTACTTTACAATCTTCACCACAATGGCAGAAAGGCACAGAGTGGGAAGTGGAGCAGGTCTGGACAGAGGCGGAGAGGTGAAACAGGTCCTCTTCTGAATGCCCAGGCAGTCTTAGATTTGCGTCCTGCATTTCCATGATGCAGTTTGTTTGTCTACCAGCAACAAATCATTGAATGATGCTGTGTATCCTGGCCACTCCATGTCATTGGTTATTATGGTGCTGGCCACTGGCCCTCTATGTAAATGCACAATGCAGATGCAGGAAAAGTTGTAGGCCAGGTAAACTCTTGTAATGGGAAGTTGTTTGGAGACCCCTGGTATGGCTTTGTCTACCCCCATTTGTCATAATGGTAGGCAGAACAAACTCTTCCGCTATATCCTAAGGCCCCATACAAGCTATGCAGGGAATCCATTTTTACTATTTTTGCAAAGCCATGCCTGCCATGTGCCACCAGTTGGGTGACCATTATGCAGATCACTGATACATGCTTTGATTGCAGCCTTTTAACACACTAGTTACAGTACATTAACCTCCCTAGCGGTATGATTATTTTAGATTTTTTCTGCTGAAAGCGGTACCATTATTTTGCATGGAAATATGTAGTTTTTTTATTGTAGGCTGTAATATTTAGGAATAACTCGCTGAAATCTGTCCGAACAAGAGTCTATTAAACATCCCGGGTATGATAAAATTTGAAACACAAAATCATAAATTATAATTTAATAAATAATCAAAAAAATAATAATATAATAATACATTTAATTCAATAATATAATCAAACCAAAAACACTGAAATTTGAAATATAGCGCCAAGTTCGCACATCGCTGAGCAAAGTCGCAAAATTGTTTTCAGTGTCTGATGACGAATTTCTCCACGAATCATCACTCAATTCTGCAAGTGGTTCTGATTTACTATCGTTGTTCTCTAGCTGATCTAAACCCGCTTTTGACCTAAAGGAACACTTTTTGGACGCCATGGACTTTTCTAAGTTTCCAGGCAGAAAGAACAGTCAAAATGCAGACAGGACAGGACAGAGCACTAGGGACAAAATGTATGTGAAATGGGTTGAAACAGCAATGTTTTACTATGTAAAATCGTTTTGAAAAAAATTACATTTTTTAAAAATTTTTAAATTTCCCGCCGGCGCCCGTACGTCCCGACGTCACAGGGACCGGAACACAGGAGCCGGATGCCGGCATCAGCCGGAGGAGATGGCCGGAGACGCTGCAGGGGACACATCGCAGGAGCGAAGGACAAGGTAAGCTCTGCAGGGACTCCCTATGCAGCGCCGCATGGTAAGCCCGAGTGTAGCTCGGGGTTACCGCTTTTGGTACAGACATTTTACCCCGAGCTACACTCGAGAATACCGTTAGGGAGGTTAAGTGAAAGGATGTCAAGAGTTGTACGAAGTCATTGGGTCAAATATACAGTAGCTGCAAGAGTAATTTTTCATCCATTACAGCCAGCCTGCAAATGGGATATGACAAGTGCAGCCCCTCTGAACGGAAACTAATGCACATTTTCAAACGGGGGAAAGAGAATATTGTTTGTATACATTAATAATTCTGTTCAAAATGTTTCCTCACTAACAGCTCTAAAGAAGTTAAGAGAAGCAGCAAATGGGAATGACATAGATACAGGTAATTTTATTACTGATTGTGCTTATTTCCAGGTGGTTTTAATAATGTGTTAATAAATGTTATTACTGTCCTTTAGAGCCCCTTAAACAACCAATGGGAAGATGGACTTCATATTAAGAATACATTTGGAGGGAGATTTTAAAAGGAAAATAATTTAAAAAATGAGCCAATTTTTAGGCTTAGCAGGCATCTTACTTTAAGGGATAAGTTCACCTTTAGTAACATGTTATATGTTACACCCGTGTTAAGGGTGTAACATGTTACTAATGCAGCAGCACAACTTACCCCACTCTCCCATCCCCCCCATTCCCAATTTTGACAGAGGGCAGTGGATCCTCTCCCCGCACCCCTGTCACGTTTTAAAAACAGTACTGCTGTGCAGGATCCTCCTGCACCTCCACATCATTCATTCATACAGATCTGCAAATGAATGAACTACCGATGGCTTGTTCTCAATGAACTGTGAGGGTGCTGATGAGCGCTTCCGTAGTTCCTCGACACTTCTTACACTTTAGTAACTGTCTGTGCAATGCTGTGCAAGCTCCTATGAAAAAATAAATACACATTTTTTTACCTACATTACAAAAAAAAAATAAATAAAGTGAATTTAGCCTTTAAGTGATAGGTTGGGGAAGTGTAGCAACAGCCATGCTACATCACATCCTGGTGATGTAGTCATCTTTCATTGAACTGAACACCCTGGACAGTATTGTGGCAGGGTCATGCAATGGGCAGTCTTTAGGACTGCGAATCGGCAAACATTGCAGTATTTATTGCTGGGACTGCTGCTCATAATCAGTGCTTTGTGGAGTGGATGGACAGGTACTTGTGAAACCCAGCTGATGGTATTGTCTTCAGTTGGGTAAAAGAAGAGTGTGAATTAGAGACTGGTCTGATAATGCTTTCCATTAGAGATTTGGTCTCCAGGGTACTCTGTTTGCAGGGGAATATTCTTAATTTTTTTGTAAGAATGTAAAATGATAGAAAATGAAGTATTGGAATAAACACCACACACCATTACAAGTATCTGTACATGTCTCAGTTATGGCTTTATGGTTTCCTTTGTGCCAGGTGTTAAGTGGGTCGAGAGTACTTCCTCATTTTCTAAATGGTTATGTTTTTAATCACAGAGAATTTCTTCTAATAGATATTACTATTAAAGTACATTGGGGCAGCACGTTTACGTGGACCTGAACTCAAAAATGGAAGAAGTGCTGTCTAAAAAAAAAATGGAATATATTTAAATGGCAATTGTGCTTCAGTAGTACCCTAAAAATCTACTTTTTGGGGGTTGTTCACACCAGGTACACTGTGACTGCCATTTGTGGCCTTGGAATATATGGTACTGGCCAGTTATACTATACATTGTTGGTGCTTATATCCCAACTCACAGAACAATAGTAAACATACATTTTTGAAAACGAATATATGGTGATAACCCTTTTGCTGGTTATAGCTGGCAGCGCTGACCGAGAAGAGAAAATCGATAGATCAACTTCTGTACAACCTCCCTGCCCACACATGGTATGGCCAACTTTTGCCTGGGCTGTCAAGAACTGGGCATCCTGCTTCCATGGACTTGCAGTACTGCTTTATATAATTACATTAGTGCTGTTCAGAACAGCAGGAAGGATCACCCTCTGCTGGAGAGGAGAAGACGACCTGAGTAGGGCATTGGGGACTCTTGCTGCACTCTGCTCAACTTGGAGTTGGGTTTAAAATATATTATCTACTGAGCTGTAGAATTCAGTTAAAAATGTTTTTGTTTTTTCAGTCCGGCATTTGCTAGATGAGGGAGCAGATCCATGTGCGGCTGATGACAAAGGCCGCACAGCGCTACACTTTGCTTCTTGCAATGGAAATGACCAAATTGGTAAGATAACAGAGTGGATGGCTGAGATTTTTCTTTGACAATACAAAAAGTCTTGTATCATATTTTGGTTAATTTCAGTTTTAACAGGAGCATCTAAAAGGGCAAATCACCTATATTAGACGCTGCTGTTTATATGAAACTACACACTAATTTCAAGAAAATAACTTCATTGGCAAAGGAGTTTCAACTGAGTCAGTGATTGGCTATTGTAATGAGATGCTTATGAAATGCTTGCTTTATGACTGGTTCTCTTTAAAACCTATACTGTTTTTTTGATTAATGGTGCGCTGATATGAAAATTCTGGAACAAAACTAAAATCGAAAATTCAGGATGCACTTGGCTGAAAACAGAAATCGAAGTAGACCGTTTTGGGTTTTTTTTTGTTATATTATTTATATAAATCCAGTAACGTAAAATAACCTTTATTGAAAGTAACACACAAGAATTGGACAGAAAATAAAATGAAATATAGATTAAATTAAAAAACTTTAAACATGCTGCACAATAATTTTGTAAAAAAATAACCAGCATTATCTGCCCAATCTCCCTTTTTTTTTTTTATCGGAAAAAACGCTGATAACCCTTGTTTTTGCCGATAATTTTTGGTGGACAATATATCGGTGCGTCACAAATTAAAATTTTTTCATTTTGCTGTGTTCTAGAACATTCTTGTTAGTTTTATTTACTTCTGGAGTGGGATTACCAGCGATTAATCACTTGCCCCCCCCCCCCCCCCCCACCAGGGGATTTACCCCTCTTCCTGACCAGGCCATTTTTTTGCAATACAGCGCTGCATTTCTTTTACTGACAATTACACGTTTATGCAACACTGTACATAAATGTACACCTCCTGTATTTTTTTTTTTTTTTGCACTATAAACAAAAAAAGACTGACAACTTAAAAAAAAACTATTTTTGACTTTTTGCTATAAAACATGTTCAGAAAATTTTTTTAAAAAATCTAATTTTGTCATAAATTTAGGCCAAAATGTATTCTGCTACATTTCTTTGCAAAAAAAAAAAAAATCCCAATACATGTCAATTGGTTTACATGAAAGTTATGCTTCTACAAGTGTATATATACTGGAATTTTTATTTATTTTATACTAGTAATGGTGGCTATTGGCAACTTATAGCGGGACTGCGGTGGGCATTCTGAAACTGGGAGGGAACTGACTTAACTTCCACTGATATCCCAATGACACTAATACAGTGATCAGTGCTAATAAAAAAGCAATGACACTACTAACACTGGGCAGGAAGGGGTTAACATCTGGGGCAATCAAAGGGTCAACTGTGTGCTGTTTTACTGTATAAGCTGTGTGTATTTTACTAGGGAAACCTGCTGTGTATTTTTCTACTGTGCAGAGAAATACACAGCAGCTTGGAATCTCCGGCCAGGCCCCGGTGATCGACATCTGTAGCCGCCAATGGCGGTGCTTGCGCCCCCCCCCCCACCTGGATATGAAAAATCACGTGTATATATACATGGTTTTGCGCAGCCCTGCCGCCCTGTAGCAGTACTTCTGCTGGAAACATACTTTTTTTTTTATATTTATACATACACACACACATTATTGTGCAAAACATTTTAGGCAGGTGTTTAAAAATACTGCATATTAAGAATGCTTTCAGAAATAGAAGTGTGAATAATCCATTTTTATTAGTTAACAAAATGTAAAGTAAATTAACAGAAGAGAATGTGAACAAACTGCCTGCTATTGCCAAATATTCCAAATTTTGACTACTCAGTCCAGAAACCTACTGCCATTTTCTGCACCCCAGTTCCTAAGCTTTCTTGCATAGGGCCTGGAAACGAGGCTAAGCGATTGAACTATGCAGGAAAACATAGGCACTGGGGTGCAGAAAAATGGCAGCAGGTGTTCTGGACTGTTGAGTCAAAATCTGAAATATTTGGCTGTAGCAGGTGGCAGTTTGTTTGCCGAAGGGCTGGAGAGTGGTAAAATAATGAGTGTCTGCAGGCAACAGTGAAGCACGTGGAGGTTCCTTGCAAGTTTGGGGCTGCATATCTTCAAATGGAGTTGGAGATTTGATCAGGATCAATGGTGTCCTCAATACTAGGAAATACAGGCAGACACATATCCATCATGCTATACCATCAGGGAGGCGTGTGATTGGCCCCAAATTTATTTTGCAGCAGGACAATGACCCCAAAAATACAGCCAATGTCATTAAGTTCTACCTTCAGCGTACAGAAAAACAAGGAGCCCCGTAAGTGATGGTTTAGCCCCCCACAGAGTACATTCACAGAGGATATGTGGTTAGTTCTCTCAGATGTTTGAAACAACCTACTTGCGGAGTTCCTTCAAAAACTGTGTGGAAGTGTACCTAGAAGAACTGAAGAATTGATGCTGCTTTCAAGGCAAAGAGAAGTCACACAAATTTTGATTTGGATTTCTCTTGTTATGTACTTTCCAGTTTAATTGCTAAAAAATTCTCTTTCTGAAAGCATTCTTAATTTACAGCATTTTCTTCACACCTGCCTGAGACTTTTGCACGGTACTGTATATGATTTTTAATTGGTTTTAGCTATGCTGTGTGAATGGGAACACGTAACAAATATATAGTGGGTTTTTCCAAACTTTTACCGGAGCAATGAAGGTGTAACTGACAAAGATAGATGTTTCTACATAGTATTATTGACATTTTGTTACCCTCCCTAATAATTCCTTCCCAGTCCCAGCTTCTCTTCAATAGGTTCTGTATGCCCAGGGGGCTGAAAGGATTGGCCGATCACATGATCACTATGAATGTCACAGTGGTTACATGATTGAGAGGCAGTCTTGCCAGCTCCTGATCATTAGTAGGGCCCCTTCATTTTAGCACCATTCTTAGAACCCCCTCCCCCCCATTAGGTAAGAGTCCTTTTATATTAGCACCCCCCTTAGAGACCACCCATTAAGATCAAAATCCCCTTTTACCAGCGACCCCCTTTAGAGATCAACAGTTGGTCATCTCTGTCACCTGAACACAAACCCCAGCCACTTAAAACTGGCTTCTAACTTTTTTTAGCTGGTTCCTAGATTCAAAGCTCATTTGTGAAGTAATGGCATAGTGAGTGCAGGTCACGTTGACATTTTTTTTGCTCAAACTGGGTCATCTGATCTAATGACATCTCTGCCTTAAAATAAGGAGAATAAAAGTGTTTGATTTGTAGGTAGCAGAAAATGTATGTGTTAGGTAAACTATAAGATTCCTGTAAAATCTAATGGAGGCTGGTCAGGTTCGTAGATACCCAAGTTTGAAAAGATGCCTTTTTTATAATATGTATTGTTTACTCTTGCATGTGGTCATGATTCAAATCATAAACCATGTAATGAATGAATGTCTTCAATATATATGTATTTTTGTTTTTGTTTTTTTTTTTTGTTTGCTCCATTTTTCAGTGCATATGCTTCTGGACCATGGTGCTGATCCAAACCAGAGAGATGGGCTAGGGAATACTCCTTTACATTTAGGTATGACACGTCTTATAGTTCTCTGATATTTCTCTGTATTTCATAGCTAGCAATTATACTATAATTTTCCATTCTTCCCCCCAGCTGCATGTACAAGCCATGTTCCGGTGATTACAACCCTTTTACGTGGAGGTGAGATCTTTTTGTATGCTTACTGTCTAAAATCTCCATTACAGGGTATAAAATATGTTGCATTTAAATCTGGAATATGCATTCTTCTGCTATATCTCAAGGTGCCAGAGTGGATGCCTTGGATCGTGCAGGCCGAACCCCACTTCACTTAGCCAAGTCAAAGCTGAACATCCTGCAGGATGGAAAATCACAGACCTTGGAATCTTTGCGACTAGAGGTTAAACAGGTGAGATAGTTTAGGTAACCGTCTTCCTCAGCTATACAAGCATCCTTTATTAGCAAAAGGTCCAGAATTCTTTAGGGTTGCTTCATTCCAGATGCTTTTTACATTGCATCAAAAACGCATGCATGATGTTTTTCATGTTTTCCAATGGCTGTAGTTCACACCAGTGCAGTTAACAAAAGTAGAACCTGCTGCATTTTTTCATCTTGAACACTTCTGGAACTTAGCAGAATGCATGTAAATGTATTGGAATGCATGTAAACACACCAGAACGTACTTTGTCCTGCATTAAAATAAAGATTTTTGAAGTGTCAAATTAAAAAAGGAAAAAAAATGCACTGAGACCCCGTTCACACTTAAGTGTTTGCGTTCCCAGCGATTCTGCCACAGCGATTCTGCCTGTGATACCAAAACACTCTGCACAAATGACAAACCACACTATGCCTGTTCTGGTGTCATTCATTTTCAAAGTCAACAAAATTAGGTGCGGTTTTACGTGTTATAAATTGCATCGTGCAAAGCTTGTTGCCCAAAAGAAGCTCCTGCTCCTTTTTGAGCGACAAACTTCATGCTATGCGGTTTGCCGTGATTGCAGCACGATTTATTGCATAACAGTTGCGGCAGAACAGCGCCATGTTTTGTTGCCATTGAAAATGAATGGCACTAGAACAGGTGTGGTGCAATTTGTCATTTGTGCAGAACGTTTTGGGATCTCAGGCAGAATCTCGGCGATTCTGCCTGAGATCACAAATGCTCAAGTGTGAATGGGGCCTGAAAGTTATTGAAAATTCATCAAACACGCATGTAAAAGTGTATGCAAAAACTCATCCAGAACACAAATTGTGGTGTGAACCAATCCTAAAGCTGAAGTTTAGAAATTTTTCTTTTGAGGATACAGCACCAAATGTATTACCTGTAAATGATGTGTATCCCATGTCCTGTAAGATGCTGCTTATTGTAAAAATCCTTTTTTCGCTGGATACTGCCCAGAGAGGTGATCTTCCGGGGCTGCAGAGGTTAACCGCAGAAGCTTCAAGTGGCCATTCGCCTGTCCCTTTCTGCCCTTCCGCCTTTCACAGAACTCATACTATCATTGTCCTGCAATGGAATTCTCTCTGTGAATGTGCAGGGGAGATCCTATCATTCATCTGCCCCTCCTGCTTTTACAAAATGCATTGGTTGTGAGTTTCTGTGAATGGCAAAGATTGCCGTTCTGGCAACTATCCAGCTGAATAAAGAAAATGTTTTTAACCTGCAGTACATGGCATGCATAGCATTTCAGATATCTAATGTGGTGTTGTAAACCCAAAACTTCAGCTTTTAATAGAATAAACTTTTAAATTCTTTTGAAACACACAATTGGACATTGTACTGTGGAGAGCCACATTTGCCCATACTTCCTTTCTGCTTTCTCCTTTGCAAAGCGCCACGCTGGTTGTATTTTACTTTTCCTCCCCAACAATATAAGCATATAACTTAGCTTACTGATTGAAGACAATGCAATTAGTATTTGGTGGGTACCTTTAGTATTGTTAATTAGAGTAAGAACTGCTTCACTGCTCATGCAAGTCAATGGGTATACAATATTATCTTGATGCTTAGATACAGTTCATAAAGATCATAAGAAACACCTCTGTAGGATCTCTGTGACAAATGTATACATCTGTACATTTATTAAAAAAAAAAAGTAGAAATCTTATATTTGTGTAAATAATATTGCAATTTACTCCAAAATTACTGTGCTTTCTTTTTCCAGGAAAGGCAAAGTACTAGTGTCGCTTAAAGGATAAGTGCACCTTTTTGACAAGCAATAATAAATGCACTTTTTTTTGCAGGTAAAAAAATGTGCATTTTATTGTTTTTTGTTATATGAGCCTGTAAATCATTGCACCGGCGATGCTGTCAGGACATTTAGTTTTCTCGATCACAGAATACGGTGAATGAATGACGTGGCCAGGCAGCGGAGCCTTTCATGGCCGCATTTTTAAAAAAAGTTTGACAGCTAACGGGAGGAGAAGATCCCCCGCTAGCTGTGAAAGCGAGGAGGAGTGGGGGCCGATCTTTTCATAACATGTTACATCCTGACTATGGGTGTAACAAGATGAACTTACCCTTTTACTGCCCTTCCACAGCAGCATATACTCCCTTTTTCTTCTTTGACCTGTCACACTTTCAAGCTGTCGGTATAGAGGAAAGACAGCCCTGTCTGAACTCCAGACTGACTTGTTAAAACTTACACAGGGTTAAGGGGTCACTTCCCGCCCAAATATGACAGCACTGGGTCTACCAGGCACCAGTGCTGTCATGTAGGATTGAGCCAGTCATGTGATCCTTCATACCTGGAAATATGGTGGAGAGCAGAGAAGATGCCTCTTTTTCAGAATATTACATGTTATTGGACTGCAGAAACATGTAACGTTTGTTCTTTGAATTTTTAGATCATCCAAATGTTGCGAGAGTATCTAGAGAAGCTGGGCCAGCAGGAGCAAACCGAACAGTTGGATCAGATTTGTTACAGGCTGCAGAGGACAAGCACTAAGGAACAGGTGATTGATTGGGATTGCTGTCTTTTTATGCATACTAAACTATGGGCTTCATTTATTAACCAGTTGCCCGCCGCCTTATAGCAGAATTACTGCTACAGTGCTGCGCAAAATCACGTGATTTTGCATTTCTGGGTAGGGAGCGGTCATTGGCGGCTACTGATGTCGATCACCAGGTCCCGGCCGGAGATTCCCCACTGGCACCTGGCGATCGCCGAGAGACCTGTGTGTGAACAACACAGGTCTCTCTCCTGCCAGCAATAACATGCACAGCAGAGAAATACACAGCAGCATGTTTCCCTAGTAAAACACACACAGCACATACAGTAAAACAGCACACAGTTAACCCTTTGATCGCCCAGATGTTAACCCCTTCCTGCCCAGTGTCATTAGTACAGTGTCATTGCTTTTATTAGCACTGATCAGTGTATTAGTGTATTAGTGTCATTGGAATGTCAGTGGCAGTTAGTCAGTTCCCACCCAGTGTCAGAATGCCTGCCGCAGTCCCGCATTAAGTCGCTGATCGCCGCCATTACTAGTATAATAAAAATGTAAATTCTAGTATATACCGCCATTTGCAGACGCTATAACTTTACACGTATTGGGATTTTTTTGGCCTACATTTATGACAAAATCTATTTATTTATTTATTTATTTTTTTTAAACCTTTTTTTCTGGATATGTTTTATAGCAAAAAGTAAAAAATTTGTTTTTTTTTTTCAAAATTGTCGTTTTTTTTTTTTTTTTTTGTTCATTGCGCAAAAAATAAAAATCGCACAGGTGATCAAATACCACTGAAAGGAAGCTCTATTTGTGGGGGAAAAAAGTACATAAATTTCATTTGTGTACAGCATTGCATGACCGTGCAATTTTCAGTTATAATAATTCAGTGCTGTATTGCAAAAAATGACCTGGTCAGGAAGGGGGGTAAATCCTCCTGGAGGGCAAGTGGTTAAATAAAAAGGAAAAGTTTGTGTTTCCAGTATCAACTAGTTAGATTCTTCAGCTGTATTTTTTTAAGCTCAAACTTTCTCCCCACCTATCTCCTCACACAGCAACCCCCTCATCACCCCTCTCCCTCGGCCTCACCACTGTTCAGACCTCCACCCCACCTAACATCCCTCACACTGAAGCCCCCTCAACACTCCACTCCTTCAACCTTACTACCATTGTGGAGGTCACCAAGGTCTTTTCTGAAGCCCGCCCCACCACCTGCTCCCTCGACCCTGTCCCCTCATAACTCCTACGACCTCCCTCCTCCTCCATCCTACGCTCCCTCACCCACATCTTTAATCTCTCCCTCTCTTCTGGCGCATTCCCCTCCCCTCCTGAAGCACGCGCACATCACTCCCATACTTAAAAAGCCCTCCCTGGACCCTACTGACCCGAACAACCTTAGACCCATCTCCCTGCTGCCATTCACATCCAAACTCCTTGAGCGCTTAGTCTACAATCGTCTAAGCTCCCACCTCAACGACAACAACCTCCTTGATCCCCTACAGTCTGGCTTCCGTCCCCTACACTCCACTGAAACTGCCTTACTCAATCTCTCCAACAACCTGCTCACCGCAAAAGCTAATGGCCGCTATTTAGTGCTCCTACTCCTCAACCTCTCCGCGACCTTCGACACAGTCGACCACCCCCTCCTCCTCAAACAACTACACTCCCTTGGCCTCAGAGACTCTGCTCTCTCCTGGCTCTCGTCCTACCTATCACAACGCTCCTTCAGCGTTACCTATAACGCTACCACCTCCCCCTCACTCCCCCTTTCTGTTGGGGTCCCTCAAGGCTCTGTCCTCGGGCCCCTTCTCTTCTCCATCTACACCTCCTCCCTTGGCCAACTGATACTCTCATGGCTTCAACTGCCACCTCTATGCCGACGACACGCAAATCTTTCTCTTGACCCCTCACCCCCTCAGTCTCTGCCCGAATCACAAGCCTACTGAACGACATATCAGATTGGATGTCGCTCCACTTCCTTAAACTGAACCTCTCCAAAACTGAGCTCCTAGTTTTCCCCCCAGCCTGCGCACCCCACCCCCCCCCCCCCCCCCCCCCACTTCTTCATCATGTCCAACAATGCCACCATCAGGCCCACCCCACAAGCCAGAGTACTCGGTGTCATTTTTGACTCCAATCTATCCTTCCAGCCCCAAGTCCAATCACTAACAAACTCATGCAGACTCTACCTCCGCAACATCGCCAAAATACGCCCGTTCCTAACCCCAGAAACTACTAAGCAACTCATCCACTCCCTCATCGTGCTTGGCTTGGTCAGATTGGAAAAGCAAAGAAGGGGAACTGTCATCCACATAAAGACAAATGCACATATGAACAAAAACAATAAATAGAATAACATACACTTTAATGCAAATGATTAAAAAACTCCAGGTTTTCAGGCACATATGATTTTCTAGAACTTTTTTTTCCAGAGATCATTGTCTTTCCAGATTTTTTTTTCCTAATATTTGCTAACCACTTGGATATCAGTACTACTTAGACCAAAAAGAAGAGATTAGACCTCCAAAAACCTGTGCTGAAAATGTAACTTAGTGGAAAATAAAAAATGTATCACAGAGTACTTGATTAGAACTTCAAAAAATATTCTTGCAACCATAACAAGAATACTTAGTTTGAAGATAGGCTTTCCCAGAAATCTCATGTTTCTTATTAAAACACACAAGTGAATACAGTAGTCAGACCCACTTAGAATTTTTTTTTCAGATCACCATTAGTGTACCGGCATGACTTCTTTTTGTTCTCTTTAGAACATTAACAGGTAAGAATCTGTAATCATATTTATATTCATTTTAAATAATTTGTTAAACTATTGATTAATCCTGTTGTTTTGTTTGGGACTATTAAATGAGGAAACTGTAATCTTTGAATCCTATAGATGTAAAAAAGCTGTATGTTTTACAGGTGGATGAGGTGACAGAGCTTCTGGCCAGCTTCACTTCTCTTAGCCTCCAAATACAGAACATGGAAAACAGGTAGCCACACTCCTGACTGCTGCTGTACTATATCAGGAACTCCTGGAATTTTCCAGTCACCTGTTTACTGCCATACAATCTTGGACTGTTGGCTACCTTGAGTATCATCTAAGTATAGCCATAATTTTAAAGAAGTCTGCAGGTCCCTTACGGTAAACCTTAAATCTGAACCAGAACACCACATTTACCCCCACCTACATGTATTTGAAGTTTGAACATTTAGCCTGGTTTCACATCTATGCCTTGCAGTAATGTATGGTAAAATGCAGAATTTACAATGGCACCCAAATGCACAGAAGAGTATCCTATAATGCAACCTCACTGCAGCACACTTCAACATCTATTTTGTGTTTGGTGTGCTGCATTAATGCAACACATGTTTATATGCATGTGGTAATGTCTCCCATAAACCCCAGAGGTCTGAAGGGGCCCTTAGTAATGTGGAAGTAGGTTATTTTGTCTGCAATACCTCCCATGATGCAATACAGCCACCTAATGTTTTTGCTGCTGGTCTGGGGGTAGTCACATTATTAGCCATGTGTTGGGTGACCAGCGTATCTGTATATAATAGTCCAGCACTGTTGTGAGCTTCTCATGTTTACAGGCATACAGGCTGTTATAGAGGTAAAAGGTATTCTTAACAAAACAAGAGCAATCCAGCTGGTGAGACAGCTCATTTGCATTTGCCCTACCTTTACTAACAACAAAATGCCTGGACTTCAGATTTTGGGTTTAGTTATTCGAACTTCTCTGCTGAAGAGTACACCAAAAAACAATAAATGCATTTACTACAAACGTATGGTATGATGACAATCTACACCTCAACGTTTCAACTGAAGAAGCTACAGATTGTTCGTTGTATTGTCTTCAGTCACCAGGGCCTTGTCCTTCTTGTCCTTGGCTGGTGTATTGCCTTGAGTTGTTGCATGTTTACTCATGATCTCTGTGTTCACTTGGTTGCTGTTAAGTGTTCTTAATGTTGGTTCCTGAGATCTGTGAGACTTAGTAGGGTTATGCAAAATGCAGTAACCTACAGTGACCAGTAAGATTTCACCCATTTTCACCTTTTAAAGGATAAGTTTGTTACATGTTACACCCATATTCAGGGTGCAACATGTTATGATCAGACCGGCCCCCACTCCCCTGCATTGACAGCTAGCGGGGGATCTTCTCCCCCTTGCTAGCTGTCAAATGTTTAAAAAAAGCATCCGTGTGGGGCTTCCCCCACCAGGCCACGTCACTCATTCACTGTGTTCTGTGAATGAGAAGTTACAAGTCCCAACAGCCTTAGTGTTTGCCGGCCTATAGTTTTCAATGAACTACCATGGTGCTGTGGAGTGTTGTAGTAGTTCATTGAGTCTTCCTGTCAGTATATTTGCTTGCCCGTACATCCCATACGGGCAAGCAGATAAAATTACAGATCTGCAGGAGACCTGCATGGCACCAGCAATCTGCTGATTGCTGGTGCAATGGTTCATAGGCTTTTGCAACAAAAAATAATAAATGCACATTTTTTTTACCTGCAAAAAAATGTGCATTTATTATTTTTTATATAAAGGTGAACCTATCCTTTAAGTACTTTAAATGGAAAGCTAATTGGTTTCTGTTGGTTCCTGCACTTTGTACTACCTTACATGTTTTCATTGTGTCACTTGTATTATATGTACGTAGAGGTATTTGCAGAAGTGCAGTCCAGATTAAAAACTTGTTCAGTGTAATTTTGTATGTATTGTACATTTAATGCAAATCCAGTGCAAAACTGCTGTGAAAAGCATGGTTATTGTAAGGTACTAAAAAGCTACTCAATTTCTGTTTTACTTTAATTCAATCTTATTTTCCCTGTCAAAATATAGTGTCTCTATATGATCGCTATTAAAAATAAAATAAATTAAACACAAAGGATGTGTCACAGGTACTAGCACATTCATTAAGATATATGCACAATTTTTACATCATCTTCTTTATGATTACATTTCAAATAACTCTCACTCAGAGTGAATTTTATGTAAAAAAAGAAGAAAAAAATTCCCTTGCATGCAAATAATCTATACTGTTTTGTGATGTGTATAATGATGGACTATGTCTGACAAGAAAATGTTTAGTCCTTACAAGAGGTGCTGGTGGTTCCATCAACTATTGCAATCATAAAAACTTTTGACTATACTGGTACAGATAGATAAGGCAAAGACAGCTGGATATAAGGAAATGCAAAATGGGCATAATATATTCAGAAAACATTACAAAGTGTTTAGGATCCCACCATTAGGTTCCACAAGAGACATACAAATCTGTTACTTGTTTAACTCCACTATTCATCAACAAAAATGTTCGTTTTAGTTGGGCTGACCTATGATTTTTTTGTACTGGAATTGCACTAAATATGGTTTATGAGATAATCGTGTACAGATAATCACGTAGAGTTCTTTTATACTTTTGTGAGTAGTTTCTTGTTGTCTGCAATTGTGTATCAATCTTAATCTCTCCATTTCCTATTTGGAAAATACAATACTGTATTATTTGTTGTGCTGTGACAACATTGTGACTCTTCTTCAGGAAATGTAAATGCGCTCTCATTGTATAACTGAAACTTGGTTATTAAACATGACATTAATTTTAAAGTTCTGCTTTGCGTTTGCTACATTACCATGCCTGAAGCTACCTTTTTGTTCTTTCCAAAGACAAAACAATTGTAAGGCGTCAGTGAGCCCTGGACTTATATGTATGACTTTGGTGTAGTTTCTAGCAAGTTAAAGTGGTTCTAAAGCTAAAACATTGTTTTTACCTTAATACATTCCCTGCATTAAGGTAATAAACATTTTGCCACTTGCCTAGGTATCGTTCAAGCTGTTTAAGTGTATCCCTTTGACACATCTTCATTCTACAAAAGAGATTCTCTTCTTTCTTCCATACATTGAAGGGAACAGTTGATATCTTCATGGTTATAGTGTCATGTTCAGGAGTAGGATACTAGGCAAACACTTAAGCACAGCTTAGGGGAGGCCCCTGACAGTGGTCAAACTCATCATCGGCTAGAGCCAGCTGACTTGTTAGTGTAAGGACCTAAACTCTCTGCTAGGACTTTCTTATTTTTTCTTTTCCAGGGAGCTTTTTTTTTTTTTCTCTTTAGTCTTTGAGATTTTTAATCAATAGCTGAGCTGGTCGATTGGCTGTATACAATAGATCCCTATAGTCTCTGCCAATCATTCCTCAACTCAGTCTGTGAGCACATGCAAAACATGTTAGCTAAGCCTGGGTTGACTGAAACAGCCCTGGATCTAAGGGCAGCCTCTGAGTGTTCCCCATGGAGAATACATCTAGTATGACCGAGTGACTTGTTCTGTCACAGGGTCTCCCCAGGCAGCAGACCGCACCCATTTTTTACTTCAGTCTTTGAGACTTTCAGTCAATAGCTGAGCTGAGTGACTGGCTGGGTACAATAGATCCTTGTAGTCTCCACTCTTCTTCTCTAGTTTAGTCTTTGAGCGTATGCAGATCATATTAGCTAAGACTGGGTTGACTGAAATAGGCTTAACCTGGATTTAAGAGCAGCCTGTGAGCATTCCTCATGGGGGCACATATGACCGAATGACTTGTTGCTCTGTCAAAGGATCCCCCCAGTCAGCAGAGAGCACCCCTACTTTGTCCTGTCATGGAGATGGTACTGTCCTCTTAGAATGTGGTAAGTATGCACCCTCCTCTCCCCCCTCCAATCCCCAGATGGCTTGTCAGTGGTATGACAATTAAATACGGTGTTCCCTTTCCTTATTCACAAACTTCCCCAAAATGCATATAAACACTTTAAACCTAAAAAAGTGTGATAATCTTATGAAGTATGCTTAGTATCCCAAGTATATAAATATAAATTAAACCCCCCTAGTGCAAAATAATGACAATCAAACACAGTGTACCCTTCCCTTATTAACAAACTTCCCCAAAACGCATATAGACTTAAACCCCAAAAAGTGTGATAATCTTATGAAGTATGCTTAGTATCCCAAGTATAAATACAAATATAATAAGTGCTCTGAACAAAAACAAAAACCACACAAGTCCCAAAATAATAAAATAGTCCTTCAAAATCTCAAAATCAACTTCCAGGTGAAGACAGCCTCCAAAGTGATTTCTGAAACCAAAAAATTATAAAACACAAGCTTAGTAATCCTCCAGGCAGGGTACTGATATATAATAATAAGTTCCTCCAGAGGGATCTTCACAGCTGCAGTATTATACTCCTCTCCACATCAGTCTCCAAACAATGCCCACCATAAATGAAACCACAATAGCATAATTCCATAAAAACTTAAACAGAATATACTTTATTCATGTGCTTACATATATCTTCATCTTTAAAATTGCCATCAAACAAGAAATCAGCCCAGCCAGACCTCCGGAAATCCTCAGCAGATCCTCTCCTGTGTCTCAGATAGAGATTTCCAGGATCCAAAAAATTTTGACCAGCTGGACAGGCAGACCAGCAGCCCCCTTTTTCTCCTCTGAGATGACCCACTGACCCCCTGGGAGTTCTTGGTGGCAACATGGAGTCACCCCCCCCCCCCCTTTCCCTCTCTGGGCGGTATGTATGTACCTTAGAATGTTTGAAGCACATGGTGGCCTTTTGATTATGGTACCTAACATTTTGTACAGGGCCCTGACAACCTGCTCATGGTTCAGCATGATATGGCCAGTGCTTTGTAAACAAAAAATTTAATATTTAAACCTCTGGGCTGGATGTGTGCCCAAAATAAATTAAATAAATAATGTTATCCCCTTCCTTAAACAATTCTCTAAGACTAATGATAATGCAAATCACTGCAACCACCTTGTATAAAAAAGTAAAAATATCTGATGTGACAAAAACACTTTTCACAGTTGCTCTGTGAACACTAACCCAAAAGCGTGAGCATATCAAATATGAACAATCAAAAAAAACGTCCTTATTAGCATAAGTCCATCATATCAAGTGGGTGCCACATTAAGTGCTCCATTCTTCTTGCTACTTTACAT